TGGAGACAACTCTCTAAAGAGCACATATTGGGTTCCACTGATCCACCCATCGTTCCATGGAAGCACAGTTGTAAAGAAAGGCAAACTATAATGAGAAGGCCACCTGCAGCACACAGAGGCAGGTGACCATGGCAGTTGTTGTCAACCTGGTTGGCCTGACAAAGCCATTTCCACTTTAAGGGAAGCCCTGTTGCAGGGAACAAACACACACTTTTGAGGGTCAGGGTACCATCTGCTCCAGAGAGTGCTTCATGGGCATAAACCATGTGGCCTCTGAGACTTTAACTCTTCCGGTTTTAGTGCCACACAGCTCCTTTCTGTTCCCATAGTCAGGTCAGCCTAGGAGCTCATTGGGTTCTTTAAAGTCAGTTTACACATTCTAGCCTAGTCCTGCAAGATCTGGCTCTGTCTACCCGTGTAACCTCTTGATGCTGCTCTGTCCTCCTTGCCCTGTAACCACCACCTGTACTAGACTTCCTGCAGTTCTTCCCATCTACCTGAGCATGATCTTTTCCACTCTCTCCAGGCCTTTGCCCATGCCATCCACTGCCTGGTAAACCCTTCCTATCCTTGTCAAGTGTCATCCTAAAGGTCCTTTCCTCAGGGAGTCCTTCCCTACACCCACCAACATGAAGTCAGGACTCCCTCCATTATACTCTCTGTATCTATACCTCTACAGTTGTAATACTTGTCACACTTTCTCATAGTCATGGGATTAATATATCTTCTCTTCTAGTCACTGGAGGTCCAGGAAGGCAGAAGTCACTCCTGTTCAATTTTCTGTCCTCACTACCTAGCAGATTACCTGCCATCTTCACAGATACTCAGTAAATTCTTGAATGAAAGAACAAATGATATCACACCTAACAATGCTTAGGAGTCAGAGAGAAGAAAATGGTCCTAGAATGCTGTTCTTACAGAATTTAATAATGTTCATAGATAATATTTATAAAATTAGTAGATACAGATTTTCAATCACACATATTAAATGAATTATTAAACCTAGTCCCCTAGGTTACAGGGACAGTCTCTCACTTAAGGGTCAATTTCTGAAACCCGAACAGAGCTGCCCTTCAGGCCTACTACAGAATTATTGATAAGCAATATTACGAGCTATGACAGTGTCCTTCTGGTCCTTTTTTTTTAGATTGTGTTTTCCTCTGTCACCCAGGCTGCAGTGCAGTGGCAGCAGCCTCCACCTCCCAGGTTCAAGCGATTCTCCTGCCTCAGCCTCCTGAGTAGCTGGGACTATAGGCGCCCACCACCATGCCAACTTTGTATTTTTAGTAGAGGTGGGGTTTCACCATGTTAGCCAGGCTGATCTTGAACTCCTGACCTCAAATGATCCACCCACCTGGGATTACAGGTGTGAGCCACTGCATGCGGCCAACAGAACCTATCTTAACAAGTGGCTGTAGGCTGGGCACGGTGGCTCACGCTTGTAATCCCAGAACTTTGGGAGGCCGAGGCGGGCAGATCACAAGGTCAGGAGATCGAGACCATCCTGCTAAGTAAGTATAAGGTAAACTCTTAGCTTACTGCTAAGTAAGTTTAAGGTAAACAGTTAAGTGTTCAGTAATTAACAATTATTGTTATTAACCCCTACAAAAGCAAATGTTTAAAGATGTCTGAGCAGGAGAAATGATCAAAGAGGTTCTTGAAGATTAATCTCACCAATTACTTCTCCTCCAGAGTTAAAATATCAAATCTATCACCTCTTCCCCCTTCCTCACTCTGTAACATCCTTCCCAGTGAACATCATCCCCAGGAGGAGCCCAAAACCAGCAACTAAGGCTCTCTCATGTTAGTGAAAGGATTCCAGCTGGTGAGGCCCACCACTGTGGGGACAAACTCAATTGAGTTGAGCTATGGCTTCTGGGATGGAGGCTCACAGCCACCTAATCCCACCCTCAATGTACTCAGCCACCACTGCCCAGGATTTACATCCAGCGTGCACTCTGAAGAGAATAAAACCAGTGATATTTCTTTTCAATTCTAAAGCATAGATATTTCCCCCTAAAACACAGGGAAGGGTCCAGGTTTTCAGAATGACCCTGTTTCTCAAGTCCCTTAACTGCTAACCTAGGAGCTTATCCTCTGGAGAGTTTCTGAAGAAAGGCTTCTCTTTGCCTCAGTTTCCTTATCTGTAAAATGGGGGATAATAACGGTACTACTTCCTGAGGTCCTGGTGAGAATTAGATGAGTCAATATGTATAAAGGGCCTAGAACACTACCTGGCACACAGTAAGTGCTCTGTAGGTGTTAGCTTAACTTAATTATGAACTTTAGTTCTTCCATCTTATTTGTACTGCTTTCTATTTGTGATCATATATTTTTCAATTACTAAGCATTAACAGTGGCCTTGTAAGAGACTATTTCAGTCCTAGTGCACCTTTGGGGCAGCAGTTTGGCTGGTGGCTTATAAATAGTCATCCCCCAGATCAGAGGCACCCATGCTTTTCTATAGACCCTGTGTAAGTTGTATCTGTTAATTTCCTTCATTGAGAAATATATACTGTAGATAAAAGAATCCAGCAAAGCCTTTAATTGGTAACTTTATTAATAACAATAGCATCTACACACATTTGAAAACACACATGTAGGAGACAGTTAAGATTTATTCAGTCTGTGATAATGTCTAGAGCTCATTTGGATTCATCAGACCCCTGCTATCAACTCCAAAAACCCTTAGCCAAAAACAGAGTTGAATCACTCATCAAACCATCAGTGTCTTCCTCGGCAGAATCAAGGGTTGGACAGAAAGAGTAAATATTCTGTACCTCCACAAAATAAAACTAAAATGCAATTGTCCTGCATCTGAGAATACAAGGGTGGACAGTATGAGTTGCATGACTGTGAACCAATGAGGCTTCCCTTGGCCTCATTTGTAAAAAGGAGATTAACCCTGTAGTCCTGCCTATCTTGCATGGCCTCCTGGAAAGCAAATGAGGTGATGACTGTCAATTAAAAGCTCCTCTCCTTTAAGAGGGGAACACCAAGAGGGGAGAGTAAGAAAAGAAGGAAAAGGCTCTTTCCAGTGACCAATACGCTGAATTTGATGAAAATCCAAAAGAGGTTATGCTAAACTGGGAAGCGTAAGGGTGGATCTACCATTGCCACCTCCTCTTTGATGCAAAAAAATCTTAACACGGCCCCCTCCCAGCTGTTGCACTGAGGTGACTAAGGATACATTTGAGGAAGTAGCTCCAAAAACATTTCCATTTTCACCGTGTCTTCACATACATCTAATGGAAATGAACAGCACCCATCATCCATCCACGGAAGCGATTAAGAAAACGATGGGATGGAAAAACTAACCCAACAATATTACATCAATACGTAGTATTAAAGTAAGTGTCCATAATGTGCCAGGCTGAAGATGCACGGGAAAACCACACCAGCCGGTCAAGGGCTTGAGAATACCATAAACAAGAAAACAGACGAACCAATTTCAGACAGCTGCTAGAAGGAAGATAAAATGAGACAGGCAAGTATGAGCGGCGCGAATTCCTTAGTGGATGACGTAGGTCTCTGACAGGTGACTTTTGAGCCCGTATCTACACGGTAAGTGCCTCGCAGTGACCTGGGGCCGTAGCCTTACCCTTTAAAGCAGAGACCATTAAATGCAAAAATTATCAACAAAACGAGAAATAGGAATTTCAAAGTCTCAAAGTGAACGACGGAAACTGAAATCTACAAATTAGAAAGAGGCGCAGAATTTTGAATATTCATGTCGCCCAATCAGGAAAAGGCTGGGACCCGGCTGCGCGGGCTTCATCCAAAATACACAGAACGGCTGGTATCCACAGGAGACCCCATCGCACAGCAGAACTGGTGACCGGACACAAAAGGTGCTGCCAAGCGTCAGTCATACACAGCTGTCACGCAGTGTTTGCGGAACCTGGGCTGAATTGTGCCCTGGAGTTCTCTTAAATAACAGCCGAACTCAGCCACTTCGTTTTAGAATGAAACAGACCCAAGAAGCCACCAGGGCGCCAGTGTGGGGCGGGAGTGGGGGCGGGTAAAGAGGCGGATTCCCAACATCCTAATTGAGAACCGACTCCTGGGAATGCTAAGCAGCACAATGAGTGAAGACACGCTCTAGATTCAAAAGCAAATCCAATCATGCACCGGGGACCTCAAGTTCCAAATGGTTAAAAACCTACGTGTGGCATTTCCCATGACCTTTACACTAAAATTACTTTATGAGAAGAAACTAAGGGAGTAAGTGAACAAGCTCTTTTCTAGTGATTAGGTGGGTGGCTCTGAAAAGAGCCTTTGGAGTCAAGCAGCCGGCGACTCGAGCGAGCGAGCGCCAGGTCCCGGCAGGGACTCACTTGGAGCTGGTGTACTTGGTGACCGCCTTGGTGCCCTCGGACACGGCGTGCTTGGCCAGCTCGCCAGGCAGCAGCAGGCGCACGGCCGTCTGGATCTCGCGGGACGTGATGGTGGAGCGCTTGTTGTAGTGCGCCAGGCGGGACGCCTCTCCCGCGATGCGCTCGAAAATGTCGTTGACGAAGGAGTTCATGATGCCCATGGCCTTGGACGAGATGCCGGTGTCGGGGTGGACCTGCTTCAGCACCTTGTACACGTAGATGGAGTAGCTCTCCTTGCGGCTGCGCTTGCGCTTCTTGCCGTCTTTCTTCTGGGCTTTGGTGACGGCTTTCTTGGAGCCCTTTTTAGGAGCCGGAGCGGATTTTGCCGGTTCAGGCATGGTAAGACACAGTACAAACGCGGCTTAGCCAAGAAAAGAAGTAAGAGAATGGGCGGGCCTGATTCTTTTATAACCACCTTATGCAAATTAGGGCTCCGAAAGTCATTCATTTCCATTGGTCCGTGTGCGGACCTTGCGTTTTCAGCAATGCGTACGCAACAACACCGACTCTTGACTTGATTGGCCGGTTCTGAAGCCATATTAGGACCAATGAAAAACTCGTTCTAGACCCCACCCCTAGGAAAGCTTATAAAGGCTTTCCTCTTGGTTCTCTTTCAAGCTTATTTTGTAGCGAGGTTCTGAGCATTGTCTGTGTTTAACCTTGATTTCAGTCATGTCTGGTCGTGGCAAACAAGGAGGCAAGGCTCGCGCCAAGGCCAAGTCGCGCTCGTCCCGCGCCGGCCTCCAGTTCCCGGTAGGGCGAGTGCACCGCTTGCTGCGCAAAGGCAACTACGCGGAGCGGGTGGGGGCTGGCGCGCCAGTCTACATGGCGGCGGTCCTCGAGTACCTGACCGCCGAGATCCTGGAGCTGGCGGGCAACGCGGCTCGGGACAACAAGAAGACGCGCATCATCCCTCGTCACCTCCAGCTGGCCATCCGCAACGACGAGGAACTGAACAAGCTGCTGGGCAAAGTCACCATCGCCCAGGGCGGCGTTTTGCCTAACATCCAGGCCGTTCTGTTACCAAAGAAAACTGAAAGCCACAAAGCCAAAAGCAAATAAATGCAGACAAACAAACCAAAGACCAAAGGCTCTTTTTAGAGCCACCCAAGTTTTCAAAAAAAGAGCTAATGCGCTATTTCGTGATCAGCCCTTCATTTGACACTTTGGTGGCTCTTAAAAGAGCCTTTGGGGTGAATGAGTATGGTGTCAAGCCTCTTAATTACTTGTTCTTGCCAGGCTTGTGACTCTCCGTTTTCTTGGGCAACAGGACAGCCTGGATATTGGGTAAGACGCCGCCCTGGGCAATGGTGACACCCCCGAGTAACTTGTTGAGCTCTTCGTCATTCCTCACGGCTAGTTGCAGATGGCGAGGGATGATGCGCGTCTTCTTGTTGTCCCGAGCCGCGTTGCCCGCTAGCTCCAGAATTTCCGCCGTCAGGTACTCGAGGACCGCCGCCAGGTACACCGGGGCGCCTGCCCCCACCCGTTCCGCGTAGTTGCCCTTGCGCAGCAAGCGGTGCACTCGCCCCACCGGGAACTGGAGGCCAGCGCGGGACGAGCGCGACTTGGCCTTAGCGCGGGCCTTGCCTCCCTGCTTTCCGCGTCCTGACATTACGGCTAAAATTGCAGTTACAGCTTCTTTTACAAGGAGAAGAATGTGGAAAGAATAACCAATTTGATGTAATTTATAAGAGCTACCGGGAGGGGTGAAGGGAAGTCGTTTGATTGGCTAAAAGCGGAGCCGTATCCAACAGCCAATAGAAAAACAGAAAGCCGCCTCTTGGTTTGCATCCTGCCCTGAAAGGAAATGACGGATTTCGTAAGTATCTACCAATCGCTGAGAGCCACATTAAAGCCCCTTATTTGCATGGCAGGATCTTTAAAGAGAGTAGGCTTTCAAACAAAATGTCTTGTACTATGGGGTTTTGCTTTGCTTTGTTTAGTTTACAGCCGGTAAATCCCAACATGGACCCTAAGAAACTGCAGAAGACATCCGTAGACTGAGAGTTACTCTCAGGCAAGAGTAGGGGATTCTGAAGCCGATGATCCCCTTGAGCTCTAAACTACCAAGTCCCGCCCTTTCTGTCTCGTCACAGCCAAATTTCCTTTAAAAATACAAGTACTACTAAGGCTGCCTCCTTTCTCGCCCCTCAACTTAAGTCGCCCGCAGCGACTCCGCCCCACCCCCACCCGCCTGCACTCCTTGGAATTCAGTTTGACCGAGGCTAGATTTGTCATCCTCTTGACCTCCAGGAGGCGGCCTTGAAGCTTACTCCCTTGGCTTTCAAAATGTCGCCCTGCGTTTTTCTTCTTAGCTCGCCGACTTTTCTTATCCTGCTTCCCCATGCCATCTCTAAATCTGCGAGTCCAGCTGGATTCTGCTTCTCTATCTCCAATTCTTCACTTATCCCGAAGAGTCTTACCCATTTATATGCTTTCAGCTAACATCCAAATTTGTTTCAGAAGCTCAGACCCTTGTGCCTAACTGCTTACTGAATACTTCAACCTACTACTTGTCCCAACGAGCACCTCAAACTCAAACTCAACCTCAGCTTATTCGAACGCGAACTGATGCAAACAACCTCCCCTCTTTGCCCTCTTCCTGAAATGCACCAGCATACTTACAGATAACTAAGCCGAAATCTACTCTACTCTTCCCTTCGTCTCAGCATGTCCAGTCAGTTGCTTCCTTAATATCCCTTCAATCTTTTTCTCCATGCTCCCTTGTCCACCTCATCATCATCCCTTAGATTTCAGCAACAGCCGGGAAAGGGTAACTTTGCTGTCAGGCATTAATTGCTGGTGTGACTCCAGCGGCCTTAGAAATCTTTCCTGAAAGCTCTTCTTTTTTTCTTTTATCCCATATAACAGATGAACCTGAAAGCGCTTGTGTTTCTTCCTCCTCAACGTCCCATCTCTGGGAGTTCTACATCTCCTACACCTTTCTCACCCTTTCCTTAGTATCCCTTAAGGTCAGGTAGAGTAATAGAGAGAAAAAATAGACTTGTGGTTTTTTTGTTTTTTTGAGGCGGAGTTTCGCTCTGTCGCCCAGGCTGGAGCACTTCTCAGCTCACTGCAACCTCCACCACCACCTCCTCTACCCCGCCCCCACCCACCCGGGTTCAAGCGATCCTCCCACCTCAGCCTCCCAAGTAGCTGGGATGACAGACGCCCACCACCATGCCCGGCTAATTTTTGTATTTTTAGTAGAGATGGGGTTTCATCTCTACTAATGTTGACCAGGCTAATCTCGAACTCCTGATCTCAAATCTCGAATGTTGGCCAGGCTGGTCTCAAACTCCGACCTCATGATCTGCCCACCTCAACCTCCCAAAGTTCTGGGATTACAGGCGTGAGCCACTGCACCCGGCCAGAAAATACTTAAATCTTATTCTTTGACACCTTTTCTGATGTTTTCTCCTTTATTCTCACCAGTTTATTCAACTGGCATTTATTGGATGTGTGCTGTTGGGCAATGGGTGTATAGATAATTGAAAGTAGTACAAACAAGTCTGTGATGAAATGCCTCCAGAAAATGGAGGAAATCTGGTGAACTCTGAGAGTTAAATTAGTTAAAATCAGCTACGTATAGAGATTACTCCTGGTAAGAATGCTGGGATAGATTTGGGAAACACCAAAGTCCAGACAGAGGTGACCAGGGTGTAACCTAAGATCCTTCTAATCCAATTGATTATATCATTTGAGAAGATGAATGTTAACAGAAAGGTGCAGTCTACATAGAGTCCAAACAGGTGGCAATTGTAATAGAAATATGTTATGTTTTCACCAACAATAAAATATATCTGGCAGAGGCAAAGTTTGGCCTACTAGAAAAGGGTCCTTGGTTATGAAAGCATCAGCCTTTTCTCACAGCCTGGGTGAAATATTTCTGAAGACTATCCAAGTTCCTTCATTCAGATTCTGTGCTCAATTAACAACTTTCTGATTGTTCTATTCCAAGATAAACACATAAGACTGAAGTAGGGGGAGCCAGTTATAGAAAGATGTTCATCATAGAATTCAATGAATTTGCATTTTGGACTATTCATAAATTTCGTGTGTACTTCGTTAGCATGGGTCCCTCCCCAAGAAGCCAGTCAGTCCTGGAAGTTCTAATAGTGTCAACTTTTCAGACCTAAAGGGCTGAGAAAAAAACCCAGATGATAGGGGACCCTACCATAATCCTGGCATCCCTTAAGGCCCTGCTTGAGGGGCATGCTGACTTTCCTTTCTTTCTCTGACCTCCTCTTTTTTTTTTTTTTTTTCCAGACAGAGTCTCACTCTGTCACCCAGGCTGGAGTGCAGTGGCAGAATCTCAGCTCACTGCAACCTCTGCTTCTTGGGTTTAAGTGATTCTCATGCCTCAGCCGACAAATAGCTGAGATTACAGGCATGCGCCAGCACATCCAGCTAATTTTTGTATTTTCAGTAGAAACAGGATTTTGCCATGTTGTCCAGGCTGGCCTCAAACTCCCAAAGTACTGGGATGACAGGTGTGAGCCACTGCGCCTGGACTTGACCTCTGATTTCTTTTTTACTTATATCACAGTGCTCTGTGCCATAAGAAGGGTGAAAGAAAAAAAAAGATTATGTTGAAACCCTACTATGATAAACCCTACAGTACCAACTGCCTACAAAGTAGATAAAATTATGTGTTTCACAAATAAACTGAAGCTCACAGGGATTAAAACAATTGCTGGGCTGGGTGTTGGTGGCTCAAGCCTGTAATCCCAGCACTTTGGGAGACCAAGGCAGATGGCTTTTACCCAGGAGTTTGAGACCAGCCTGGGCAACATGGCGAAACCCCATCTCTACAAAAAATACAAAAATTAACTAAGTGTGGTGGGGTACACACCTGTGACCTGTGGTCTCAGCTACTTGGGAGGCTGAGGTTGGAGGATTACTTGAGCCCGGAAGGCACAGGTTGCAGTGAGCCGAAACAGCGCCACTGCACTCCAGCCTGGGCGACACAGCAAGACTCTATCTCAAAAAAAAAAAAAAAAAAAATTGCTGAAGGTCACACAGCCACATGATTAGAGTCTAGGTCTGCCTGACTCAAAGAACATGCTCCTCACGATGTCATTCACACTCTCACTAACTAGATGTTGGGCTTAATGAAGTCATTTAATTTATCCAGCCATTGTTTCTTCCTCTGTACAAAAAAAGGAAGAAAGAATTATTAGAGGAGAACTTCCCTACTCCCACACAAATATCCTTGCTGTGCCCACATCTCTTTGTTCATATCCTGGTGACAGTACTCACCATTCGGTACTGTGCTTTTTTTTTTTTTTTCAGATGGAGTTTCGCTCTGTCACCTAGACTGGAGTGCAATGGCACGATCTCCGCCCACTGCAGCCTCTGCCTCCCAGGTTCAAGAGATTCTCCTGCCTCAGTCTCCCAAGTAGCTGGGATTACAGGAATGTGCCACCATACCTGGCTAATTTTTGTATTTTTAGTAGAAGTGGGGTTTCACTGGATTTGCAAACTGCAAAGTCCTAACCAAAGTAAGTCCTATAGATGCCATCTTTGTAGCAGCTTTCTAATCAATTTACTTCTCTCTAGCCCATCTTGTGCCTTCACTCAGGTTATCTTTCACCCAGACTACCAACAAAGACTTTTCTGCTCCTCTCCCTGCTTCTACTCTTCCCACTCCTCACTAGAGTGGCCTTTCTAATAAACATTCTGATTCTTTTCTCACCATCTACTCTCTCCCCAGGTGATCACATACCACACCTCAGCCCCACCCCCATGATCTCATTTTATCTTCAACAACCCCTAAGAGATGTCTCAAATATACTTCTCAGATGCTAAAATTAGTGGGGAAAAAAATAATGGAGAAATAGGTAAGTAGATAGACTTAAAGTATCTTCCACAATTACAGACAGAAAAGGAATTTTATAGTGGAAAAGCCTGACAGATACCATCTTAATCAAATGATCAGAATTATCACTAGTAATAAGAAAAATAAAGATCACGTGCCCTGGTAAGTTTCACAGAGAAGAACTCAACATTACTTCTGCAGTATTCTGGCCAAAAAATGCATGTGCTAAATTTTAATCATAAAGAAACATCAGACAAACCCAGATTGAGGGACATTCTACAAAATAAATGTCTGTAACTTCAAAACTGCCAAAGTCATGAAAGACAAAGAAAATCTAGGAAACTATTCCAAGTTAATGGAGAACAAAGAGATATAACAACTGAATGCAACATGTGATCCTAGATTGGATCCTGGACCAGAAAATATTTCTTTTCATTTTATATATAGGATAGAAGTGAACAATTGGCAAATTTTGAATAAGGTCTGTAGATTAGATAATAGTACTGTATCTATGTTAATTTCTAGAGTCTGACAGTTATATTCTGGTTATGTGAGAAAATGTCTTTTTTTTTTAAGTAAATATACATTAGTCAGGATTCTCCAGGGAAACAGAACCAATAGTAGATAGATTGATAGATTGACAGATAGTTTTATTATAAAAAATTGGCTTTTTGATTATGGAAGTTAATAAATCCCAAGATCCCCGAGATCTTCAGGGTAAGCTGGCAAGCTGGAGACCCAAGAAAGGTGATGATACAGTTCCAGTCCAAATCCAAAGGCCTGAGAACCAATGGTGTAGTTCCAGTCCAAAGGCCAAGTCTAAGACCCAGATGGAGCCAGTGTTTACTTCTGAGTCTGAAGGCTGGGAAAAGCCAACGTCTCGGTCTCAAAGTAGTCAGGCAGAAGGAAGTCTCTCTTACTCAGGAGAGGGTCCGTCTTTTTGTTCTAGTCAAGCTTTCAACTGGTTGGATGGGACCCACCTACATTAGGGAGGGCAATTTACTCCGTCTACCAATTCAAATGTTAATTTCATTCAAAATACCCTCACAGAAACACCCAAATTTTGCCAAATATCTGAGCACCAATCTTCTAGAAGTTGGCACATTAACCATCACAGGCCGGGCGTAGTGGCTCACGCTTGTAATCCCAGCACTTTAGGAGGCTGAGGTGGGCAGATCACCTGAGGTCGGGAGTTCGAGACCACCCTGGCCAACATGGTGAAACCCCCTCTCCACTAAAAATACAAAAATTAGCCAGGCACCGTGGTCCATGCCTGTAATCCTATCACTTTGGGAGGCTGAGGCAGGCGGATCACTTGAGGTCAGGAGTTCCAGACCAGCCTGGCCAACATAGTGAAACCCCATCTCTACTAGAAATACAAAAAAATTTAGCCGAGTGTGGTGGCACCCGCCTGTAGTCCCAGCTACTCAGGAGGCTGAGGCAGGAGAATCACTTGAACCCAGAAAGGAGGTTGCAGTAGGCCAAGATGGCGCCACTGCACTCCAGTCTGGGTGACAGAGTGAGATTCCATTTAAAAAAAAAAAAAGAATTTTGGGCCAGGCACAGTGGCTCACGCCTGTAATCCCGGTAATCCTGGGTGACCGAGGAGGGCGGATCACCTGAGGTTGGGAGTTCCAGACCAGCCTGATCAACATGGAGAAACCCCATCTCTACTAAAAATACAAAATTAGCTGGGCATGGTGGCACATGTCTGTAATCCCAGTTACTCAGGAGACTGAGGCAGGAGACTTGCTTGAACCCAGGAGGCAGAGGTTGCAGTGAGCCGAGATCATGCCATTGCACTCCAGCCTGGGCAGCAAAAGCAAAACTCCGTCTCACAAAAAAAAAAAAAAAAGAATTTTGCACCTAACTCAAGTGAGTCAGCAGAAATAATTATTATTATTTCATTATTATTATACACACATACATTAAAAGAGAGATACAAAGACAAGTCTGGCAAAATGTTATCAGTGAATCTAGGTGAATAGTGGATAAATGGGTTGCTCATTCTATTAATCTTGCAACTTTTCTGGAAGTTTTAAATTTTTTTTAAAGGCTAGGGAAAACAGTGTATGTCGTAGGTTAAATTTCTTGAGTGTGATAAGGATATTGTGGTTATGTGGGAGAATATCTTTGTTCTTAGGAGATACATGTTGGAGTAGTTAGGGGTGAAATGTCATGCTACCTGCAACTTATTTTCAAATTGTTCATCCAAAAAAGTACATAAATATATTTTAAAGTATATGTAAAGTACTTAAATATATGAGTATATATGTACAAGTGTAAAATAAATATAAATGTAAAAAATGGTGGGCCAAGTGAAAGGTAGAGGGTGTTGCTTTGAACTATTCAACTTTTCTATGGCTTTGACGTTTTTCAAAATGAGAAGTTGGGGAAAAACATTTAGAAATATGTAAATATATTAAGGATACAAAATAAAATTTAAATAAATTTAAAAGTTAAGAATCGCCAAGCGCGGTGGCTCACGCCTGTAATCCCAGCTCTCAAGGAAGCAGAGTCAGGAGGATAGTTTGAGCCCAGAAGTTCAAGGCCTGCCTAGGCAATATAGCGAGACCCCATTCTCCACAAAAAGGAAGAAAAAACAAAGACAAAAATATATATATAAGCGTAAAAGTTAAGAATCATCCTGGAAAAATTACATCCTGTTATATCCCTGCTTAAAACCTCAGTAGCTTCCCACTACTTCTAGGATAAAGACAAAATTGCCTAACAAGGGCTACAAAGCCTTGGGAGGTCTGGGCCCTTCCTCTCCTCCCGGTACCCTACTCATCACCATCACCTGCTCCCTAGGCTCCAACCACACATAACCACACCCTAACTACACCAGAAAGACTCCCTCAAAATTCTCTCTCCCCTTGTCCTTTACACATGTGGCTACCACAGCCAAAACCTCACTATGAGGGACTGAGAATGGATTTTCATGTTGTTTCTGCCAAACTGTTTCCCTAAATCTCGGAAATATTCTCTGCCCGCCCCTCATTCCACCTCTCCAACCCCGGCCAAGTTTGGATAACTTGCCTCCGTAGCATCCTGTGTTTATCTCATCGTAGCACTTAGTACCCAGTACTGCAATTGTCCGCTCACTTGTTAGTCTTCAGTGCTCTGTGAACTCCTTGAAGACAGGGTCTGACTTGACTCTCCAGTCCCCAGCACTAGTCTGGGGCACAGTAATTATGTATTCAATCAGACTTCCATTTTCTTGTATATAAAATAAAGGAATTGGGCTAGATGATCTACAATATCTATTGGCAGTAAAATAGATCTAATAATCCCAACCCCAGCTGCGCGTGAAATCCCTTTTTCTTCGCGTTGCTGGGTTCAGAGTTTCTGACGACCTTACCGGCGGGGAGAATCCGAGACTACAGTTCCCATGATCCCTTAGGGCACCATGTGGTGCCTGCCCGTCCTACTAACGCACAGCAAGGACTCCATTTCCCAGCGTGCCTCAGGAAGGGCGCCAGGACTGCGTTTTGCTCCGGAGCGTCCGGAGACCTGGCCTTGAGCGGGAATCGCAGTATCCGAGGCTGAACGGCAGGTAAAAGGGGCTGCTTCTGGCCTTCACAGGGATCACAGGGGCTTCGGCCTAACCACAAGTACGCAGTTGCACATGCCCTGCATTTGCCCATTCTTTGCAAATCCCCTCAGGAACGAACGCGCCTCGCTTGCGGGCCTTTCTAATCTCCGCTTGTCCCTCCACTCCCACAGCTGGAGGTCGAATTCACCGTGTCACGTAGAGAAAAGGGGCGGTGTCTCGGGTCTCCCCGTGTGGCGTCAAGGCGGTCTCCTGACAGAAGCTGGTGTGGACATCTGGGCGTGGGGTTAGAGTGGATGCGGGGGTCGCGGGGCGGGTGTTGACACTGTGCTCTCACCGGGCGGATCATCTCGACCCTCACTCCTGGTGTCTGTGTCTCTGGCGTAGCCGATGCTGAGTGGGCGCCTGGTCCCAGGTCTGGTCTCCATGGCTGGCCGGGTCTGTTTGTCCCGGGGCAGCGCGGGATCCGGGGCCATCGGTCCAGTGGAGGCCGTCATTCGCACCAAGTTGGAGCAGGCCCTGAGCCCCGAGGTGCTGGAGGTTCGCAACGAGAGCGGTGGCCACGGGGTCCCGCCTGGCAGTGAGACGCACTTCCGCGTGGCTGTGGTGAGCTCTCGTTTCGAGGGACTGAGCCCCCTACAACGACACCGGCTGGTCCACGCAGCACTGGCGGAGGAGCTGGCAGGGCCGGTCCATGCACTGGCCATCCAGGCACGGACCCCTGCCCAGTGGAGAGAGAACTCTCAGCTGGACACTAGCCCCCCATGCCTGGGTGGGAACAAGAAAGCTCTAGGAACCCCTTGAACCCTAAGAGAGGGGGAGGACCAGCATCCGAATGGGCTGAGTGAGCACGAACTACTGAGGCCTTCCCTTCGATCCAGTCCAGGATTTGTAAGGGATGAAGACCCCTGAGCCCTATTCTGTTGGGGTCCGTACATATTCTCCAAAGATAGCAACTTGCTTCAGGTCAAAGTGAACCCAAGAAAAGAGAAGAATCACTCACTACTGCTCTTGCCCTGGACTATTCAGGAAGGGCAACCCAGATGTTCCATGTTAAATCGTGACAGAACTGCACCAAACCTGATGAGTTGGAAACAATCCTATACATTAAAAGAAATTACACTATGAGGCTGTGTTCTTAATGGACTGCTGAATCAGTGCCATAGGTGTTCTTGGGAGAAGAAAGATACCTGTAGACTAGTCGGGAACGGCTTTATGAGGGAAGTGATCTACTTGGGTCTTTAAAGGAAAGCACAAAATTAACCAAAAAGGAGAGGATAGGTGCTGCAGGCAGGGAGAAGAACCTGAGCAAAGGCATAGACACTGGACTGAGCAGTGAGTTAATGGACAAGACAGGCGATATAGGCAGGGACACATTTGAACTTCATCTCAGGGGAATGTTTGCCTTTTTTACAGCCTGTCCATTTCCAAAAAGTAGTACTTGTATTTGTTTAAAAGAAAAATGTTTTTAAAAACCACTAAAGCAGTGAAAAGAGAATAAGAACTAAGAAAATGATTACAGATGATGGAGAAACCTTTATATAGCCCTTTTTTTTTTTTTTTTTTTTTTTTTTTTGAGACGGAGTTTTGCTGTTGTCACCCAGGCTGCAGTGCAGTGGCGCAATCTTGGCTCACTGCAACCTCTGCCTCCTGGGTTCAAGTGATTCTCCTGCCTCAGCCTCCCCAGTAGCTGGGATAACAGGCATGCACCACCACGTCCAGCTATTTTTTGTATTTTTAGTAGAGATGGGGTTTCACCATGTTGACCAGGATGGTCTCAAACTTCTGACCTCAGGTGATCCTCCTGCCTCAGCCTCCCAAGGTGTTGGGATTACAGGTGTGAGCCACCACCCCTAGTGTTTTTTTGTTTGTTTCTTTAAGATAGAGTCTCTGTTGCCCAAGCTGGAGTGCAGTGGCACGATCACAGCTCACTGCAACCTCCACCTCCCAGGTTTAAGTTCTCCTGCCTCAGCCTCCCAAGTAGCTGGGACTAGAGGCTTGTGCCACCACACCCGTCTAATTTTTTGTATTTTAGTAGAGACAGGGTTTCACCATGTTGCCCAGGCTGGTCTTAGACTCCTGAGCTCAGGCACTCTGCCCACCGCCTCCCAAGGTGCTAGGATTACAGGTGTAAGCCACCATGCCCCACAATGTAGCCCTTTTTGAGCATTACAAATGTTGTCATATTTCTGAGGGGAGCTCAAGTAATGTCTATAGAAGCAACTTTCTAATAATCTCAATGTGGAAATTATTAGAGAACAAAACTTGGTTAACATATATCTTTTTTTTTTTTTTTAGACAGAATTTTGCTCTTGTTGCCCAGGCTGGAGTGCAATGGCCTGATCTCAGCTCACTGCAACCTCCGTCTCCCAGGTTCAAGCAATTCTCCTGTCTCAGCCTCCTGACTAGCTGGGATTACAGGTGCCTGCCACCATGCCCGGCTAATTTTTGTATTTTTAGTGAAGACAAGGTTTCATCATATTGGTCAGGCTGGTCTCAAACTCCTGACCTCAAGCGATCCGCCTGCGTCAACCTCCCAAAGTGCTGGGATTACAGGCATGAGCCACCACGCCCGGCCCGGTTAACATATATCTTGATCATTTCTAGCTAAAGAATTTAAGGTGCATGTGGTTGGGCAGTAGGGAGTTATTAACGAATTTTGAGTACAGACATGCCAGAGAGCATTTGGGGTCAGATGGATCTGGCAGTGATGTGTAAGTGAGTTGGCATGGGAGATTGGAGGAAAAGAGATCAATCCAGAGTGAAGGTAGAACCCTGATTTACAGGTCATCTGTGGGAATGGAAAGGAAGGAGTTGATTTGAGAGCTACCATAAAATCAGAAAATGGTTTGATTAGAACAGAAATGGACTAGAGTGAGAGGAGTCAAGGTAACCCCAAGGCAGTGGTTTTCAGATTTTCTCTTAGGTAAGAACTCCCATGGGAGATTGTTCAAAATGTAGCTTCTGGCCGGGCGTGGTGGCTCACACTTGTAATCCCAGCACTTTGGGAGGCCGTGGTGGGCGGATCACCTGAGGTCAGGAGTTCGAGACCATCCTGGCCCCATATCTACAAAAATTAGCCGGGTGTGGTGGCAGGCGCCAACCACACTTAGGAAGCTGAGGCAGGAGAATCGCTTGAACCCGAGAGGCAGAGGTTGCAGTGAGCTGAGATCACACCATTGCACTCCAGCCTGAGCAACAAAGCGAGACTCTGTCTCAAAAAAAGGAGATTCAAGGTCCCCATCCTTCCAAACCAAGAAAAAAAAAAGGGTTCTGATTCAACAAGTCAAGAGTGGAGTCTGGAGTCTGTATTTTTAAAAAGCATAACAGAAGATTTAGGGGAAAGTTGGTTCTAATGAAATGTTACTCCCAAAGTTTTCAAATCTGGGAGACTTAGAGGGCTTTCCATCTGTAGGGGAAAGATCAAGGTAGAGAGGCCAATTTAGGAAATAAAGCTGGTACACCATGTTATTCTGACCTTCAGTTTGGAAAGCTGTTTTTCCATCTCACCATTTTACCCTCCAAGGCTGTTAGGAGAATTGGATGTAGGTGGAGAGTCACAGAAGCAGGTATAGCCATTTTGTATTTTGAGGATTTGTTTCCGTTTTATTTTTCATCAATATTTTTCATTGCATTTTTCACATCAACTGAGTTGGGTTTGGGGTTCCCCAGGAGAGCAAGGGAGATGGATGGGTCCCTCCCAGGGGTGCAAGGAAGAGGGCTACGTCCAGCATGTGAGGAGTGAGGGACAAGGGCACAGGGCACACATTCATACACTGGGCACTGGAGGAGAAGGCAGTCTTTTGAGCACAGACACCAAAGAGTTAAACAGTCACCACCTGGTACAGTGTTACAAAATGGGGGGAGTGACCACAGGGTTGGGGTACCGGACGCAGCATGACGAAGGTGAATTTTGATTTTGTTTTTTGTTATTTTCACTTTTTTCCTTTTTAACTTTTTTAAAACATTTTACAAACATCTAAAAACTACAACACATCACAGCTACAGTGGGGGTGAGGGGAGGGCACCAAAGAAAGCAGCCACACAGAGTAGGGTGGGACGGGGCAGCCTAACCTACAGAGGCTATTGTGTGGAAGGGTAAAATGGGGAAACTGAGGCTTCTAGTCCCTGCGTTAGGGGTCCCTCACTCACTGCCCAACCTCTCCCCACTCAGAGGAGCTGCCAGGAGGGCCCCTGCTTCTTGCCTCTGCCCCAGCTCCTTGTGCTTTTTGATCTGCTGGTTTGACCAGATGCCTGGTTTCTTTCCCTCCCCTGCTCCCCTGCCTGTGAGGGGACAGGTCGGGGGTATGGGAGGGCAGCTGTGCTGTTTCCACCTGTGCTGTAGTGGGTGGAGCCTCTCACTCCAGAGGAGGCCTGTGCTTCTTAAGGAGGGAAGCAGATGAGCCTTGTCAGATGCCCTCAGATCTCCCAAGACTGTGGGTCTCTTATCCCTGGCTGGCCTAGGGCTCCTCCATCCCAGGCTCAACACAGAAACCAGATTAGGGGAGGGACTATGGGAGGCAGGGTTGTGTGTGCGTCCGCTGAAATTAACCCTTGGCTTATATTTGAGGACAGTATAGTGATACCCCCCGCCCCATGGCACATGCACACACATATATAAGTATACACACACATTCACACACAGTCCTGCAGAGCTGCCTCAGAACTTAATCTATTAATAAATAAGAATCGGAAAGCTAATTTCATACAATTCAGGCTTCATATTTGCAGCCCAAATTGAGAGGGAAGTGGAGGCCAGAGGGCTGAGGTTTATTGCTTCTCCCTCAGCATCCAACAGGAGGTGTGAGAGGGCACCCGAGGCCCACCCTTCAGATTCAGAAGTTCTTTTGGTCCATGGTCTACACCAGAGTCCCAGCCCCCATCATAATTGCATACCTGTGGTTTCACCAGGGCCTAGGCAGAGGGAATGATGGGGAAGGCAGGAAGCCTATTCTGGAACCCCTGGAACAGGGAAGCAAAGGCCCCTCTCTAACAGGGAGAGAAGGATGGGGCTCAGCCTTCTCTTGTGCAAAGTCAAGGTAGTGGGAAGTGGGGAGTACAGCTTCATCTCAAAACTGGGATGAAGGAGCCTTCCCTGTAGTCCCTGCCCACGGGGGTCACACACATGCACACTCACACACACACACAGCTAAGACACCAAACACAGGGAGGGGGGAGTGAGGGCTCTGGAAGTCAGGATGGCAGGGCAGGGAGGGGAAGGAAGGAGTTGTTGGTCTCACAGTGTGCCTGCCAATCCCAAAGCCCTAGAGATCCCTTCACTGCAGCACCTGCCCCCGGGTCTCAGGCAGCTTCAGGGCCAGAGAGCTGCCAAGGGCAAGGGCAGCTGAGGCAAAGAGGATGGGGGCAGCCTTGGTGATTCCCACGAAGGATGTGAAGATGCTGATCCCCAGCACAGCTGCCAGCTTACACAGGGCATTCAGGAAGCCGAAAGCTGTGGTCCTGCTCAGGAGTCCCCCAGTGCAGCATGGCGCAAGGTACAGGAAGGAGGCAAAGGAAGAGTGGAGGGCAGGGAAGTGAAGGCCAGGAAGATGCAGGCAGTGTCCAAGAGGGAGACAGAAGGTTGGAGAGATCAGAGAGGTAAAGGATGTACGCCAGGAATGTAGATAAATTAAGAGACAAGGGGAAAGGAGACCAAAAATTGAGGTTAACAGTTAAGACTTCGAGGAGTAGATACAAAAGCTACCAGATTTTTTCTTTTCTCTTTTTCTTTTTCTTTTTTTTTTTTTTTTTTTTTGAGACAGAGTCTCGCTCTGTTGCCCAGGCTGGAGTGCAGTGGCGTGATCTCGGCTCACTGAGAGCTCCGCCTCCCGGGTTCACGCCATTCTCCCGCCTTAGCTTCCCGAGTAGCTGGAATTACAGGTACCCGGCTAACTTTTTGTATTTTTAGTACAGACAGGGTTTCACCATGTTGGCCGGGCTGGTATCAAACTCCTGACCTCAGGTGATCCGCCTGCCTCGGCATCCCAAAGCACTGGGATTACAGACAGGCGTGAGTCACTGCGCCCGGCCAAAGCTACCAGATTTTAGAGGAGAAAATGGAAATGTATCTTCCTTCACCCCTAAGGATGCTCTTCCCATTCAGCCCTCCTTCCTCACCCCACCCCTCC